AACTTCCCCAGCCTCTGCGGTTCATGTAAGTCGGGGCGAGGAATTCGCGGGGTCCGTATTGAGCACTAATGGGAGCCATTTTGGGAGAACGTGGTTCCGCGGTCGGGCAATGGCCGAGGTAGGGGCAGGGGCAGGGCGGCGGGGAGGAAGGTAGAGGGCCGGGAGAGCGCGGTGCGGTCGCGCACAGAGGGCCTTGCGTCCGAGGGATTAGCGCGGTGTCGGCGTCCGGGTCGCGGGGAGGGGAGGGCGAGGGGGGCCGGTTGTGGGCGGGCCGCGCGCGGACGAATTCTTAGCGAAATTGGAAGCGCTCGCACGCGAGCCTGCGCTATCGTATGAGCGCGCATTATACGCGCAGAGGGCGTCGCTGTAATTCCGCGAGGCGTCTGTGCATTTCAAAGCGCGGAAGGGAACGAGATTATTGTGAAGTAACAAAAAAACCGGTGGCTCGAAAAGGAGAGATTTAAACGATATTGCGTGGTTGTTATGCGATTAACATCTTTGACAACTATTTTGTTTCATGTTGGTTGCGTGTAATGTTCGTGTAATGATTTTTATTTTCACTGATCAATTGAAAATTAATACCTTCTAACGTGTTTAATAATACCCATGACATTTTCAACAACAATAATTATGAATTACTATTACTGTCGTAAGCATACGTGTACAAACACATGTACTCTTCATCAGCGTCTTTGTAAGACAACAATATGATATATCTTACATTCATTACGTTATATTAATAGGACGAATTACTAACGATATTTGTTAACTTGCAGTTATTTACCTTTGAAACTACTTATTTACCTAAGATTTCTGTACTATTGTATTTGCTCTGAAAATATAGATAAAGAGAACAATGTGTCGGGATGGGGAGAGGAAGAAAAAATGGAACGAGGAGAGAGTGGAAAGGAAGTAATAAGATGCTGAAGGTCGGTTGATAAGAGAGCATAAAGGGCGAGGAGAGGGTGAGACGAACTTACAAAGAAAGCGAAGCCTATTTGGTATGAGAGAACGGACGAACTAAGCGAGCCGGGGGACGGCGAGGCCAGGCAATTTGCACAGTAGGGAAGGAAACTTTCGGGCTCTGCAGGCAAGGAAGAGAAAGGCAGAGAAGGGCAGAGAAGATCTGAGGGTTTCATATTAGGACAGGACATGGGTGAGAGGATCAGAGCACTGAAGGATTGAGCGAGTCACGATACGACTGATCAACGGCAGTGTGAGATATTGCGAATGAGGGAGTTGAATATTGAGAATGGTGGAATGAGGTCGGTGCAGGGCGAGGGCGAGGCGAGAGCGCTACGGGTGGGGGTGGCGAGCAGCTCGTTTGCAGCAGAGCGGAGCCGATTCTCACACGCGTCGCGCCCCTGCGTCCGCCCGCGCTGTTTGCGTTCGCTCCTAATCACATTTCGCATCCGTTTCCTGCGAGCGCGCTCTCGGGTCTTTCGGAGGAACCTAACTGAAACACACTCGAAGGAATGGGAATCAAAAGAAAATTAGAAAAATCTCTGAAAGGGAGGAATAAGGGTGCGTTGAATGCCACCTTATCAAAGACGTATCTAAAGGTAAAGGGTTTGCTGCAGAAAACCCTTGAAGAGGAATACAACTCAATGAGATAGGTTGCTGTTCATGAATTTTCTTAGAACAGAATTCAAGAATTGCAAATGGTTCAAATTACTTAGTAACAAAATTACAATTTACAAAGTGGTAAGGGATGCAACATGGTTTGTGGGGAAATTGACATTTGTGTTACATGGATGATATATTTAACGCAAATTCTCAATCATCTGACCGTTTTGTCATTGAATAAATTGTATCGCCAACACACGCAAATAGCTCTCGTGTAATATACATACGAATAGTGTTATCTTTTGTGGTTTTCAATTAAAACGCTTATCAAAAATAGCAGGAAGAAGAAATATGTTGATAGTACTCATTAAGAACAGGAAGTGAAAACAAGAACGAGCCAAAATGATATCCAGACAACGCTATTTGTTTAATTTTCTTTCTGTAAATTCATAGTTCATAGCAACATTAGAATGATGATCATGAACGCTCGTTTGTTTGCTTCTTGCGATACCTGAGCAGTTCTGCTCAGTCTGACATATTTACCACCACATATTATCCACCATTTTCGTTTAATCAGACACGTAGTGAATACGACCGATTCCCGGAAAGAAACATTTCCCCCGCACTTTGTTTTCCCCGGACGCCTTCATTTGACCATTTCTGGGAACCTTTATGCAAATACGAGTCCGCGTTGCAGGGCGATCCTTTAGTGAAATCCGGCTCTTTTTTGGACGCGATAAGGCGCTGCGGGTCTGCGGGCCTCGCCGCCATTAAAAGCCGGCACCGCGCGGCTGATAGCTGCAATCTGCCGCCGCGCTTACGCTACGGCGCAAGATAAATTGTGTGTTTGCGCCACGGAGCCTTAGCCCCCGCCGCCGCCGCCGCCGCCGCCGCTGCTGCCGCTGTAGCTTCAATCAACGCGAAGCGCGGCGCGGAGATAAATCATGCCTGCGCTGCAGCCGAAACACGGGCTGCGGGCAGACCGGCGCAGCGGGCGCCGTGGGGTGAGAAAGTCGAGGCGGGGTGAGATGGGGGGCAGATACGGGTGTGGCGGTGAGGTGAGAAGAAGGATGGTGTGGCTGGGGAGATTGAAGGAAAGTATACCATGGTGTGGTGTTGAAGGGCAGAGTGGGATGGAGTGAAATAATAATGGTAATAGACAGGTGCGCTTAGAAGAGGTGCAGAAACGAAAGAGGTGGGTCTGTTTATAGCAGAAGAGAATGTGAGGGTATGGTATGAAAGAATAGGTTATTAGGGTGGTTGCGGTAAAGTGAGGTGTGGGCGTATAATGTAAGTAAGTGAACATATAAAGAGATAGAGCGGGGAGAGGAAACAAAGTGATAAGTAACCACAATGCTGAAAGAGAGAGAGAGAGAGAGAGGGAGAGAGGGGGGAGGGGAGGGGAGGAATGGGAGGGAGATGGATAGAGAAGAGGTGCAATTATGCGAAGAGAGACAGGGAGTGGCCCCTAGATGCCTGGATAGACGGAGGGAAGATGTAAGCGACTGTCTTGTCTACGTTGCTGAGAAATACATAGAAATGGTGGAGTGACGCAGAGTTGCGAAGAAGCAGCGTTTGGGACGGGGCGGGTGATGAAGGCATGCCGAGGCGAGATACGAATTGCGACGGTCTGATGAGCTGTGAGAGCCAGGGACGCCGCGGGGTTGTGCGGCAAGCGGCAGGGGGTGCGCGGCGAGGAGCGGCTGGCAGCGCGCCGGCCGCGTCTTGCGGCGTCCCCGCGCAATTTGCCAGTCGCGTTGAGGCGCGCCGGCTCCGCTCGAGCTGAAACCGTCTCGTAACGCGCCGCCTTCTTCTCTCTGTTGCAGCTGGAGACGGCCGTCAACGACTGGACCTCCAGCATGAAGGCGCTGCGCAGCTCCCTCAAGGACAAGAAGCGCGCGCAGGTGAGTGCTCGTCGCTCTCTACTGCGACGAATCCGCTCAGTGCGCTCAGGGTGCCCCTTGGGCGGCTGCTCCATCGCAGTATCACGGGTTGCGTTCACGGCAGGGGCGGGTGGTTGCGCGTGCTGTATCACGTAAAAGTGCACGGCAAAATAAAAATCTCTCTACATTAAGTGTAGATGCACACTTACACAACTTTTATACGTGTCTCTATCATTTATGGAATTTTCCTATCTGATTTGTTGCATTTTTTGGTAATAATTACAAATATTATTTTAGAGAAAGTTTTTTTCGCGATAGAATACACACACGTGACCCATACCGTATTTATTGGATATTCCGTAACTGATAAAAAACATTATATTTACGTAGTGCATTGTATTCTACCATAAAATTACTTTAAAATTCTATTTTTCCACGTTTACATTTAAATAATAATTCTTCAAATTTTTTTAATTTGAAGTGGGTAAATATTGTAGGAAAACGTACTCCAATGTTAAAATAAAACCATTACTACAGTTTCTATTCACACTGAAATACAGCCGTGTAGTAGTTACAAATTCCACAAATAAACATCACAAAATTAATGGGTTTCCGCGTATTGCGACTGAACACTGACACACCTTGTATTGTTTTACCTATTACATTCCCTCTCCAGTAAATATTTACTCTAAAACTGCTTATAAAACTAAAACGTTACACGCTGTTGTTGGAAAATTCTACAGTGAGAGATACGTTAGCGCGCAGTAGTTGTATTTGCATTGCGCGCGGAGAAAACATCTCTTGTCGCGTCGCGTTCAGATTGATTAAATTCGCACGCCCTACAATCCCTCCACTACTCTTTCACGGGGCGTTTGCTCGACAGAGTTTACTCCCAATAAACCCCAAAGATAAAGAATGCACTGCAACTTTTTCGGAGAAATCGCTAGTGTCCATCGAACGAACGCAGGAGCGTGTTTATTTCGGGAAAGCTTTTAGTCTTGTGCCGGCTAGCATGCGAGCCGGAAAGCAATTGGACGGAATGAATAAAAGTCAATAATCCGCAAATAGAATTCCGAGAGTGGGCCCAGGCAAATTGCGTTGCTGCCTTCGTCGGGTGACGCATTTCGCTTCGGATTCGTCCTGCCTGCAGAGAGCGCTGCGCCGCGCTGCGACAGGGACAAAGGTGCGCTCTTGAAAGCGACACGCAGAGCTCATTCGGCTGCTAATGAACGAGGTACACAGTGTTGCAACGAGCGGTAGTCAGCTCTTAGGAGGACGCCCACCAATTGCTGACGACCTACGACACACGTGCTGCGCTTTGCATCCCAACGAATTTAAAGTAGCGCGGAGGTAATTGAATTTAAGGAGAATGCATTGAATTGTTGAAGTAATAACACGTTTAATTAATTAATTATTTTTCTCTTATACATATTTGATGAGTCTTTCAAAAATATATAATTTGACAGTTTTAGTACACCTCAGAAATGTATTTAAAATACAGCATTTGTATTGGAATATTTACATTTTAACTATTTTCTATTATAAATCGAAATGGTTCGCCCGTTGTTGCTATCGCATGAAAAGTACGTTCACTCAAAGCGCACACCAAGGAAGACCCATACATATCAAACCAAATTGAAGTCGAGTGTAGCTGATGAAAAGCAGCCTGAAGGAAACTTCCGGAGTTCAGTTGCTGTGATATTCGGTTTCTTAATTTATCCCTTCCCTCCGATAACGGCTACGTAAGCGAACATTGTAAGACGGGGCATAGGGAACTGTTTCCACCCCTCTCTCGTCGAGCATGGATCTGTTGAACCACAGCAAGTGCTCTTGACTCCCATTACACCCTTGTAACTCTGAGCTCCTTAACTCTAGAGAGAGATTCCACTCCAACCAATACTGTATCGTGTATGCACTTGAAGGCTGTACCCAAGTGTCCGAGTAGAATCGAAAGCAGAATTAAGGTAACAACAACAACAAAATTAATAATAATAATAATAATAATAATAATAATAATAATAATAATAATAATAATAATACCACATCAGTCAAAATCCAGATAACAATCTTATCATTCTACTCCATTCGCCTCCATCTCATTTCAGTCCATTTCCTCCCTGCTAGAATTTCCATCAATGTTTCCTCCCGATGACGTTATTAAATTTCCCTGCCTGATTAACGCGCGTTTCTTCCTCCCGCGCCCGCCACGACAGTCGCTCCCGCCGAGCGCGCCGCGTCCGCCTCGCGCCGCCGGCGCACCAACGCGGAGGCAACGACGTGGTGGCCCGTCGCGGCGCTGGGTCGAGTCGCGGGACAAGCGCCGCACCCACTCGGCCTGCCGCCACGTCGGGCGCGCGCCAGACGGCCGGCGCGAGTAAGCGGCGCGCGTCACGGCCCTGGAGCGCGCGGGCGCGGCGCGCGCCGCCGCCCTCGACAAGCTGCACCTGTCGGCGCTGCAGCTGCTGGAGGGCGTGGAGGCCCTCGAGGCCAAGGTGGACCGCGCGCTGCCGGACGTGCGGCGCGAGGTGGCGCGCGCCGAGGCCGGCGTGGCGCAGCTGCAGGCCGGCGTGCAAGTGCTCAAGGAGCAGCAGGTACGTCACACTTTTCTAAGTCTAGAGGGCGAGCTAGGTGGGTCTTACAAGTTGAATGGTTGTAGCTCTACACGTACTCACTTTGCGAAAGTGAAAACCTATTAGCTCACTTCAATCACAATCGCAGAATTTGAGTTCAGACCCTTCATAGTCATTATTACTCCATTCCCGAATAAATACTTGTGAAGTATAAAATTGTTGCACTGCAAAGTGATTACAATTTATTGCAAAGTTATTGCAATGTATATGTTTTTCTTTGTCAGAAATCAGTTTTGTAAGCTCCGATGGGTATTTATTTTGTTATTTAACGGTGTGGCGGACTTAAGACCAACTCTTTGAAAGAAGATACACGCAACCACTTATGTTTACAATTCCAGAGTACAAAGTATGCAGCAAAGACACGGAAATGTAGAAGGACAAAAAATCATGAGCTCTAAACAGAAGCATATATAGGTAGAGAGGAAACGACTCACTCCACAATGTAAATTAAAATACTTTTCCCTCTTTTTTCAATGGCCCAGTTAACCGAGAACTGGAATTACAATTATAAAGCATTTCAGCCGTCTACATTTTTTTCTACACATTTTTCGAGCAAATACCATGCGGCTTTAACTGGTGTAACATTCATGCAATTCATAATATTTATTCACTTATTTTAATTTTTCAGGTATTTCGTATTTTCTATGTTTAATACGATTACGATATGGACGTAAAATTCCTAAAAGATTGCTCAAAATTTTTGACTGAGCACCATACCGAATCCGTAAATAAAAATAATAAAAGCGTGTTTCTTTTAATCATTTACTTGCGATCTTTCCTACCAAAGAGGAGAATTCGTGTCGGAATAGTGTCGGACTTCTATGATTTATAGTTTTCCGTGGTCACTTTTGTCAATTCTAGAAGAATTTCCAAGGAATATCTTACAAAGGTTGCAAGCACCGCACGCGTTCTTTGCTTCCTTATCCTCGTCTCCTCTCCCTTACACACACATCCCCATACACATACATAAATACACACACAACTTATGCACTTCGACCTATATGCAGTGCATTGCTCCACATGCCGAGAGACCAGTCGGGAGCTGAGGCGCTGCATCGCTAGGGGAGATAACTGGAGGGGGAAAGCTTATAACATGTCGTAATAGTCGGCGGCGGATCTCACGTTTCATTCAGGGAAGAACACCGCTGAAAATATAACATATACTACACTTACTGGTCTAACCGCCTAAACAGTTGACGCACCCCAAACCAAATAATTCATTCACCCCCTTCCCGACCCCACTTGTTGCGTATCCATCGGGCTATGCCACGCGTGTGGTGTCTCGTCCAGTTTCGAGTTTCCCCTCTCTCGGCGAAGGAAGCGGGCCGCCCTCCTGCGTGACCGGCAACGCTACTTCTCGCCGTTCGGCAGCTGCGCGCGGCCGCCGCGGGGCGCGCCGACGCCATCGCCAACGCCACCTGCCCGGAAGAGCTTTTTCTCGGAGGCGCCGGCGCAGGTGGCCGGCGCCGGACGCACGCTCGCGCTCTGGGCGGCACCTGCCGCGCGCTCTGCGCTTTTTTCGGCTTTCATACGCAAATGTCATACACAGCCCAATAAGCAGTATCGCTGAAAATATTTTTGAAGTAGGAGAGGTAGTGCCTGTGCCGAGAGGTTTCGGGCTAGGGTGCCACATGTTCGAATGGTATACGTCGCGGAAGACACAGCATTTTGGCAGCCAATCGGGGAGGTTACGTGTTTCACGAAAGTATATGGTCGTACAGAGATTGAGAGCAACTCGGAAATGACACTAACTAAATATAAAGAAAATTAAATATATTAAATATGATCAAACAGTTTAATACCTTAAAAACAGTTTACTTGATTTTATAATTTTCTGTTAACTCATAAAACTTCAATTGTTCCCTTTTTATTTTATATATAAACGGCGATATCCAAGTAATAGAACTCCGTACTGGGCGACTCAGCCGACACAAGACTATCAGCATTGCGTCAAATCTCTGACACGTTCAAGGCAACAGGATACCTTTGTACTTAACAAAAAGCCTTGAATATTATTAAAGAGCATCTTCGGTCGTTTATTTCCGTCTGTAAAATACCATCTCTTCAGCGTATCGCGTATCGTAACGTATGCCATATATTAGTAGCCCTTCCGATCTGCGTGCTTGAATTTGCGAGCTATCAGGGTCGTTCCGAGGAGATCGCTTCTTCTTCTCCTCCTCCTCATGGGTTGCGCGTGGCACGAGAGGAATCGCTGAAGATGTTTCAGCGGCGCCCGGTGCCTCTGCAAAAAGCGAAGGGCCGCTGCAACGGGGAGCGATCGCCTTATCGATCACGGCCCCGGCCATCGATGCCGCTTTGCATAAGGGGCCATGCCCTGCCTGCTCTCCGCGCCATCGTCGCTCGCTGGCTGGCGACCCCATTCCTCTGCAAACGAGTTCTGCTGGGATCTCTCACTTTGATACAAAAGGACACGATTTTCTCGAGAATTCAAATGTATGTGAAGTATTTACATACGAAAAAATCTCATTTGGTTTTTCATTCCTTCTCATTCTTCCAGTGAGGGTCGGATATTTGAACATGTTCTTTGTAAGTCAAGTGACAGGAATATCTATTACGTGGTACAAGTAGAATCATATAAAATCTCGACGGCAAGTGGGGTGCATCGATGACATCTCCTACAAAAAAGTTCTTCTATCTCTTTTTCATCTTCATCGTTTACGCTGTACAAGCTTCTCGACCAACTTTGAGTCACAAAAACCATGTGCGACGAACTATGGTGAAAAATAGCCTGAAGTATGCACACCGTACCTTTTGAATATTAAAGACAGCAGATTCTTCGCAAATAAACAAAATAACTCATGAAATTAATTAGTGTTAGTCAAAGATATTTTGAAATTGACCTTGTATTTGGCCCTATTATGGGAATGAGGAATAATGTTCATTCCTTTTCCTTTAATAAAAAACTTAACCGGTTATCAACAACGTACACGTCAGACACACATGTCGGGTGTGGCTAATAGTACTCACATTTGTTTCAGCAAAATTATTTACTTTAATGACAAAGAGAAAATCTCTCTCTTTCGTTCAAAGTATCCCAAGTGGATTGAATAGTATACAAAAAAAACCAACGATAAGATATTATGTGTCGGACACCGCTCGTTCCGTGAAAATAGAACAAAAACTAACTCTTCCGAAACGTCAAAATGTAAAAAATGCTATTATTTACACCCAAACGCCTCGTAATTTACAACGCGTGACTGGTACACTGCAACGGACACTCTATGATCTTCACGACCCAACTGAAGGAGAATGCAGTGCGAGCGCACGCGGCCGAGGGCAGAACTAGCGCCGCGAGGCACCTCCTCCGGCGCGACCGCGGCCAAGAGTTACGATCGGCGCAGGCGGCGCACACAGCGCCCGCGCGCAACTTCCCCACGACGAGCGATTTATGTTCACACCTCCCACACGCAGCGCTCCAGAAGAAGGCGGCGGCGGCAGGTACCACCGCTGTGCCTTCCGAACACCGCGCGTTATAATCTACGTTCCATTTAGATAATAAAGCTTCCCGCGGGGGTGGCAAGCGAAGCAAATCAAAGCAAAGCAAAGGGGTGCGGTGCGGTGCGGAGCGAAACACGGCGGATCGAGCGGTAAGGTTTTGACGCGTCCGTGCCGCCGTCGAGTGTTAAGACCGGCTGAGTTACGTTCATAGCGAGTATTGCCGATAACTCTGAAGCGACTCTGAGAGATTCTAGGGTCACCAGCTACCTCGTGACTCGTCCAGTTGTGGTGATCTGGGTGAGAATTCTAGTGACCTGAACGGTAGTTTTCCGTTGTTTCTCATATCAATATTCGGGGGATACCAAAACAGTGCCGTAATAAATGGGACGCGGACGGCGCGATTTTTCTTTCCTCTTCCTATCATCTCCCCTTATTCACAAACATACTTTCAAGCACTACATTACCACACATGACTGAAGACCAGTTGGAAGCTAAGAGCCCGTCCCGGCTTGGGCAGTGCCAAATAGTGGGAGATACCTGGGGAGTAAAATCCCTTGCAAGCCAAATGTGAACGTCGGCACCGGATTTCATCTCTCAGTGGAAGAGAACGACCGTCATATATCGGGATAATTCACTACACTAATGCCCAAAGCAGTTGACAAGCACGAAAAAATCAATAATCAATCGCCAAACTGTAGACGTGCACCCTCAATGTTGCTCGCAGAATAAGTAACATCCCGCCTTCCGTAGCTTTACACCAACGAAAATTAATTGCCTCACATTTTTTTCGTGAAGCAACATTTTCAATATCACCAGGCAATATTTTAATGAAATTTCAAGGAAATATATTTTCATCAAGTGTCAATTTTATTTATCACAATAATTTGAGCTGCTGAATCATCTAATTATAAAATGCCAAGTGAAATAAAACGCATGAAACAAATCAACAAATAAATAATTCATTGTCGTTATTCAGTTTGCTTACATACAAATCTTTCTCTGGCATCGTAATCAAAATATTCACAAACCACAATGTCTTCGAGACCGAAAAACAAAAAAATAATTTGGAGAAATGATCGTCTATAACACGCGCACGACTGAGTGTAACATAAACAAACCAAAGTCGCTAACCAAACATCGCACCCTATTCTAAAAACTACCACTTCAAGTGGCCTAGCCTAGTAATTACTACCGTATCTCACCTTCACCCCCGTGGGTAGCAACGTTGTTGCCTTCTGAACGTTCCCCACGTTCTAAAATACGTTCCATTCCAATAATATCCCTTCCCCGAATCGAGCCGTGGCGAGCAAAGCAAAGCATTGCGAAGCGCGGCGTCTTGCACGGCAGGGGTTTCGACACGCCCGCGCCTACGTCGAGTGCCGGGCCGCCTCCGTAGTCGGCGAGGGGGAGCGGCGCATGCGGGCGAATAAACACGCCGCGTCGTCATGGCGACCGAGGAAGGAGCGGGGGCGGGGAGGGGCGGACAGCTGAAAGCCGATGCACGGCCCCCTGAGCCGCGCGCGCGGGGAAGCGAGGCTCCGTAGGCAGTCGCCTCGCTCTCCCCGCCCCGCCCTTCCTCGCGCCGCCCGCAGCAAGAGGAGGAAAGCTTCCGAACCGCCCCCGCGGAAATTCAACGGAGGCGCGGTTCGAAGGGAAGCAACTAACCAAACAGCAACATAGCCGTCGTCTAAAATTGTAATTAGTAAATAGAAAAGCATATCAAACAACGTTTCATCGATTTCCAAAAAAAAAAAATATCGTTATATACTCTTCGATGAATGTATCATATCCATTTTTTAAATTTCTGCAATGGATAATTATCTTGGTGGAACACAATGATTACATAAATTCAATAAGCAAACTATGACTATTTACGATATTAATTTTAAAATAATTTTAGTTTTTTATTCATGTAAGAAGTTCGAACTCATTATTAATATTAAATTCAAATTTGATTGAAAAAATGTTTCTTTTCCAAAACGAACTTTATCAGAACTTTTGTGAATTTCACGTAATTGCAACCGATCTGAGGTTCCAAGTCCAGAAAATAGGTTCAATCACCGAAAGTAAAGAGATCATAGATTATCAAAAAGTGATGTACTCTCCATTTCGCTCATTACCTTTTTATCAGGGGAAATGGATTCAAAAAGGGGACTGAGTGAACATGGACTAGTTCAACTAGCAAAATGTAGTTCGACGTCATTGAAGTGGTAATAGTTGTATTAGTGCGGGATAAGGGAAATTGGCTAGCGAAAGTGTGCACGTGTAACGGCAAAAATAGCGACATGCGGCGACAAGGATGCAGGGTTATTTTGGTCTCGGAGCGAGGGGGAGTGAGGGCCTTTGACCTGCAGGAGGTTAAAGCCAGGCATCGCGGGTGTGCGTGGGCGGGGCTTTTCCGCCGGGGCGGACGCGGTGGCCGCCGGCGGTGGCAGGGTGCGCAGAGTGCGGGAGCGGAGGGGGCCGTAATTTCATCAGCGAGCGCTTAACGTTCCATCTGCTCGCGCCCTCGCCCCGCGGCCAACAGTCCCGCCGGCCGGCCATCCCGCGCCCCCGCCCCCCGCCGGATGCCGCCCGCGCCCTCGCTCGCGCCTGCGCCGCCGCCGCCGTCGCTCCGTGCGCTCGTTACCTGCGAGGGCGAAGCAGCGGCGACGGCGGCGACGCCGGGCGACAAGGGGCGACGAGCGGGGCGGAGGGCAAGAGTGTGGCCTTTTGAGACGCGCCCCGGGCGTGTCACCGCAGCTAACGAGTGCCTTCGCCGTCGCCGCCGACGCCGCTGTCGCGAGTGATGGATGGCCCAGATTGCGCCCCGACGCCTGCCTCCGTCCCCGCCCCGCTCCGCTCCGCCTCACCCTCGCCCACCGGCGAGCGCCCCGACCCTTTCGCAGCCTCCTCTCTCCCACGCACGGCCGTTCGCGCGGGCCGCTCCGCGCTTCGATAAGATGCAGAAGCCTGTGGAGATTTCGCCCTTTCGGTAACGCACCCAAAATGGACGAAGTTTCACACGAGATTTCATTCTAAATGGGAAAATTTATTTATTTTAATGAAAGAAGTCGTAGAATGGTATTTGACCTTCACATTTGTTACATATTTACCTTCGTAAAATATCTCTACTGGGTAATGTGGAACTTTTAAAATATCTCTACTGGAAAATAACGAAAAACAAACTGCAAGATGTGACACGCGAGCCTTACAATGCGAAAAATATTCAACTGAATAAATTCTGTAACCTGGTGACATCGTAACTACTAACTCAAATAATGTCGCAGCCACAATACGTGTAAAATTTGCCATGTTTTTATTTCACATTAAGATTTTTTTTAACTTAAAAAAATTACCCTGCGTAAAACCTGAAACTACTGACATGGGAATGGGAAATTCTTCCACGGGTAAAAGCTGCAGGGATATATTTTGTCGTTGTTTCTTTTCGCAAAAATTCACTCTGGCTAAACCGCGAGTGAGGTGACGGCTGGCGCAAGCGGACGTGGGTGGGGCCGGGGGAGGAGGATGTTGGCGAGTCGCAGCGACCGCAGCGCCTGCCCTGCGCAAGAGAATGTCTGCGCCAGAACGGCGCCACCGGCGCCACCGCCGCCACCGCCATCGCTACCGCCTCCACCACCACCGCCGCTACCACCGCCTCCGCCCCCGCCACTATCGCCTCCATCGTCATCACCACCTCCGCTGCCACCACCGCCATCTCCTCCACCGCTGCTAGCACCGTCGCCACCAACTCCATTGCCGCCGCCGCCACAACCGCCACCGCCACAACCGCCGCCACCGGCGCCACTGCCGCCACCGCCGCCACCGCCGCCTCCGCCGCCTTCTAATGAGTCGGCGTTTAGCGCGCGGGGGCTGTTTGTCACCTCCTTCCCGCAGCGCGGCGACTAACAGGAACATGCGTACGCCGCTGCTGCAGCCGCCGTCGCCGCCCCACGGAGACGCAAGACAGATACGCGGTAAACGGCACTCGGTTGCGACGAAGTCCTACAGCACGCTGCCGCATTTGGGGCATGCACGTCAACGCCTAACACACTAACACACTCATACATTTCACGAGAAAGAACATTTTTAGTAATTGAAGATATCGATACTAAACAATTTCCATAAATCTGCACTTCCGTTTGTATTGCAATAATACGCACAAATCAAATCCATATTTCCATTCAAAATAAATTTTATATTGATATTAGATAATCCTCTTTGGGAAAACCAATTTGTACGTAACATGTAAGGCATTTTAATGGTAAAAGGTTTTTGAAGAATGGAAAATAATGCCTCCTTTATGCTTTGAAAGAGCTGTTCTTGAGGGAATGAATGAATTAATGAAGGAAAGAAAGAAGAAAAAAATATGAAAGGTTAAAAGCGGTTGCCCATGTCGCAGATAAGCATAAATTAACACTTTTGTGTCACGTTCCAGATTAGTAGTGATTTGTAGTAAGAAAACCTGCATTTCGCAATTAAAATAAATTTGTCGATAAACCGGCCCTTCGTAGGATCACTAACAGCAAGAAAAGTGCCACTGAAATCAAGGCTGTATTGAAAATCGAAGATTTCTCATGGTAATACAGTACGACAAGCCACAACAGTACTCGAGTTTGACTGTAAAAAAGTATCGCACCAACCCCTAGTTCACTTCCTCACTTCACTCAATCCATTTGTCAACATCGCAGTGGTCGGAGACCGCACTCGCGAACGCTCGATAAAGCGTGTTGTCGGTCACTGTAAGTGGGAGGCCATTGCTGTAAGGTACCAAAGGGATTCGAAGAAATCCCCAGGGGTGACGGTTCCATCGACACCTCCAGAAGCACGGCCGGGGGCGGTCGTGCCGCGTGCGCAACCAGGGGGCTTAATGGCAGCAATTGGCGGGTACGGATCGGCGCAGGAGGGGCTCTCGGGGAACGGAAGAGGTGGAGAGGGGGGTGAGGGGCGAGAAGCGATTGAATCGCGGGCAACGCCTCCTGATAAGTGGTGCCATAAATCCGCGTTAAAGGGGCCGAGCGCCGGGACGCGCGCCCGCACACACGGAGGCCCCCCAATCGATGTGTGCGCTGCATCATATCTGCCGCGTCGGGCTGCGCGCCGCCCCGCGCCGTCGCGCTTATCGGCTCCCGTGTGGCGCGGCCGCGCGCTGCAGGACGCTGCTTATCGCGGCGAACGGTCAAGACTTAACCGTCCCTGGAGGAAGAGACAGCCTCGGCGCAGGTCGCGATTCTCAATTTTATTTAGACTGGACAAAAAAGTACAGTACGCCCGCAAGTTTTTTATACGGAAACGAGTCGTGGTGATAAATTTCCCGTCGCTTATCGGCTCTTCAATCAATCTTCCATATAAAACAGGAAAGAAAATTATTATAAAGAAAGCATTTTGGTTGAGAAGCAATCATAACTTGAGCGTGTTTTTATTTCCATCCTAAAAATAATAACTACATTTACTATTCATTACAAAACAGATTAAACGTTTAGAAACAATTTTTCTCCCAACAAGTGACACTACCCCCTCATCATTTTGTGATTACCATGACATATATTTGAGAATTTTTTATTGGCTTTATGTATTTCATATATCTTATATATTTTATATTTTATTTATTTCATTTTTTATGTGTTTTATTTTTAGTTTTATTTTAACTTTCTCCATACCCATCCATAAGCCAGAAACTATTTCAGCAGTACACACATCCTCTTAGCTCTTTATCCCAGAAGTAGTAGTCCTCTCAGAGTTTAATGCGACGTGCGTGCGCTCGTGTGTGCGCAGGAGAACCAGCGCGTGACGGTGCGCGCCCTGGCGGGCGGGCAGGCGGCGCTGCAAGAGAAGCTGGAGGGCGCGCGCGCGCTCTTCGCCAACGTCACCGCCGCCGCCAACGCCTCGGCGCCTCCGCCCGCGCACGGCGACGACGCCGGCGACGTGGAGGCGCGCCTCGGCCGCGTCGAGCGACAGCTTCACCACATGCAGGTGAGCCCCCCCCCCTCCCATCTAAAGCTAATTACGTTGTTGAAACGTGTATTTCCCAAACTTGTATGTTCACTTATAATAATTGCTCGCAAAAAATTGCATAACATTTCATTTTTTATAAATAATTAGTATTTTTTTTAAATGTTCAGTAGAAAAAATATTATGAGTTCATAAAGCATCTGTGCCCTTCTAAATTCACAAAAGCACTTGTTCTATTTCGGAGAATTAAAAAAAGGATCTGAATAGGAATCTACCTAAGACAACGTCTTTAAGTTAGAAATAGTAGTTTGCATGTAGCTTTGTAAAAAGAACATACAAAAATACTTGTTATCTTGTGAGTTTAAGAAAAAACTGCTTTATCAAGCATGCTATATACGCTACCTATACCCTATTCTGTATAAAGATGCCATATAAAAATATATTACTATTTTACAACCTCCAGTGTCAAAGCACATGCGATATAGAATATATTAAAGAATAATCGGTTCGTGGAACATTTTTAAGGTTGCACCAGCAGGTTGCATCGTAAATATTTAAGAAACATTTTCGATAAAATCATCTTTGCAGCTTCATTTAAATTCTGTCATTATCGTAATACCATGAATAATTAACACCCTTATTCCACGCAGCGGAAAAATGTGTTTAGCGCAGTCGATACAGCAGGCTTAGGCGTGAGGAGATTGCATCGGAAAGGGATTAGGTGCGGAGGCGTTCCTTATGAAATTGGATAAGCGCCCTCGGCGCAAAAAAAGTCTTTAGCTGCAAATTGGCCGCGCCGCATCGCGCCTCCGCAGGAGGGGTAGGCGAAACCACCGCCCTCGTTTTCCATTTGGGCCGCAGAAGGATCTCAATTTTGCCCTCGCTGGTTGCAAATTTGGTGGCGCACCTCTTAATTTGCGAGATTCCGGATTTTGATGATCTTTAAGTCCACAAAAATGATATAAAACTCTAGAATTACAGTTAAACGAGATACCTTTTTAAAATTACAAAAATTAACGAAATATTTATTTTATTATTGAAAGAGTAATGTATTTCATGTACAAACTGTAACATACAATGAACGGAAGTTAATTGAAGAAATTGGGACAGTTACAATAGAAGTCACAATAGCCACAGAAAGCCTCCGGCTATTTGTAATAATATCTCGATTGTGGTCAAAGTATGTCTAATCTTATTACTGACCCAACATGTTCATAAAAGTAATCAAGACATGTGTAGTAAAAAGATAAGCCACACTTTCACAATCTTACTGTATCTTATAAATGCCCCAAGCCCTTCAATTTTTAAAATTACGGACTCTTACACTACTCAACATGAAAATAACAAAATAAGGCAAACAAGGACCCTTATATTTTAAAATATATTTTCTCCATGGCCATACTTTAAAAAATGAAAAATAAGTTTGTGACTGTAATACGATAAGATGTCATCTGACTTTCAACTCTTTATTTATAAGTTAAGCATCGTTCACGAAATAGAACCATAGGAAACGTTTTGTATTAGAACATTATTTCTTCGGAGCCCTGGCTTCATTGTCCACTTTTCTATGCGTAGGAAGCAGCATGGGTGCCGGACGCCTTCGCCAACGCTAGCACCAACGCCAGCGCTGGCGCCAAACCCGATGGCAACGAGGGCGACGTGCACAACATGGTACGGCAGTTGGCGCGCGTGCAGGAAGAGTACCAAAACATCGTCAGCCGCCTACCTGCCGGTGAGTCTCTATACCAAATTAACTTTCTTCGCAGACAGCACCTACACTAGACAGTCTTGTTATTGTTTTTGTTGGTTTTAGTGGTGGTTGTGGTGGGTGGTGGTGGTGGTACTAATGTTATCCAACATTTTTCTAACGCTTGGCACTCCGTTTCGTTTGCCACCCTTCGAACGTATCCGTTCGAATGGCGAGAAAATAAACTCAACTATGTTTTTCTTCAGTTCCTTACTGAAATATAGTTGAGAAAGGAGAAATAGTAGAAACCAATCAATGTCAAACTTCAGGTTTTTACACTATGAGCTGAGAAGTAAAACGCGCTAAATGTGCGAAACATAATTTTATATAAAAGAATCAAGTTCGTGTAAAAGGATATCTCAGATATCTTATGGTTCAATTAAAAAATATTGACGATAAATAACTCAAACTGTATGTTGTTTTATTTCTGTTTACTATTCACTTGTGTGTCACTCAATTTTTAATTCCTCGCTGGGTTATTAAATCATTACTTAATTATTAAGGTTTTTGTGAAACTAAAAATCCTTTCTAAATTAATTTAAATGAAAGTCTGTTTATCGCAAGTGCTGAATTCTCAAATAAAGTGAAATCTACCAAAACATGGATGTAGATACTATAGAAGGGAAGACTAAATGTCAAAAATATGATGTACACGACCAACTCAATGTAATTCAATTTCCAACCTTGAGGTACTCCACGCGATTCCTCCGGAGAATAACACAACGCCCATCGCAAGAGCGGCTTGTTTGCCTGCCGGCAACGCCTCTGCTCGAATTTCGCCGAGAGATACAAGGCGCAACGGGCGCACCCGGTCAGTAACACGAACCGCGTTTTCTCCCGTCCGCGGGCGATAAACCCGGCCGGCGCGCACAAGAAACCCGAGAGACAAAACACGCGCCGATCCACATTCCAGCAGCGCCTATAAAGCTGCTCCATAAACCCGCGCCGCCAAAGTCGTGTGGAGCGTGCGCCGCACAGCGCCTGGCAACGCCTCCTGTGTTTGCCCATCCCCTCACCTCACCCTCCATCCCCGCCCTTTCCCCGCCACTGCCCGGGAACCTTGTCAAGACGACTTCGCGCTCTCCGCGATCAGGGTGGAAGAAACAGGCGGAACGACGTAATAAAAAGGCACAGACGCATTTAAGATGAATCTCTGTTTTCGTGTGATTCTCGACTTCGAATAGAGGTCAATATCACTAATTTTTGCGACGGTGGGCCAAGATAGTTGGTAAGACACCTGAATGCGTGCTTAGATATCATATGTTCAACTTCTGGTTGGACCAGGAATCTTTTAAGCCTTTTATAACCTTCTAGAAGGAAACGCAGTGCTGTTAGCCTATTACTCAATAACTATGGGGCTGTTCAGGATCAAAGAAGCTGTACCGGGGTTCTACTTATAACGCTTGTAATTAGAGCTTAAATGTATAAATTATGAATATTTACCTCCAGTAACTCACAGACATCCTTCGCAGCCAGGTGGCAATTAACATTTTTCTGTGCTTCCGTAAATAGTCCAAAGACAGAATTATGGTTTTAAATGCAACAACACATTATACTTGCCACGTCGTGGCCCCAAAATCACGTGCTTGCTAATGTCCCCCGGGTACGACGACCTGCGGACGTCAATGCACGGAAGAAAAAACGTGAAGCAGATGTCTCTGCTACAAACGGCCCCCTACGGCATATCAGATGATGTAAAAACGTGCCAAACAAGTTAGTCGGGATTACATTACGCTCGTGAATTTCATACAGTTATTTAAAAAATCAGATATACATATTTGACAACCAATCCTTTCCTTCCTGTTTGTGGAGGTTGGCGACAGTATACTCAAGTAGATTGAGACAAGTTGTAACATTTTTCCAGATCAGATCATGGAGTTAAGGCAAAGTTCAACGCTCCGTAGCAAGATTGTTTCACATGGTTTTGAAATACGTAAGAAGTGAAATGTATCAAGGTTTTTTAATTGAGATCGTATCATTTCACACCAACTTTTGGAACATGTCCACTTTAATTATGTATATTATTGTATGATAGGCCCTGTGATGCTTCGCATAAGGTATTTTGAGAATATTTTTCAAAACAATATCATTCAATAAATGCATTCATACAACTTATATTTCACATCGGAAAGTATATTAAAAACAGAGCGTATACCACCAATAAACAAAACATTTTTCAGAATTTCAGAAGCAGCTTAAAATTGCACAAAGAATTGCAAACACCGAAAACGCAAACGTCAATTCAGCAAAGTGTTCATGTCAAAGGGCATTTCATTTCCCTCTCCAGTGCGCTGTCGTGTGCCTTGTCGCGAAGCTGTCGCGGCAGGAGACGACTGGAAGTGGGGACTTGGGCAGGGGGGAGGCGGATGTGCAGGCAGCGCTGCAACTGCGCCGCTGCGAGCTTTAAGGGGCGACAAGGGCCCCTTAAAGCGACTTAAGCGCCGCCCCCGCACTTTACGGCCGCCGCTGGCGCCTGCAGCACATAACCCGCCCGCCTCCACCCCTACCCCGCTGGCCCTATCCCTGCTCCACCCCCGCTCTCCCGGAGCAAATGAAACGACCGACCAATCAATGGTGGATAACATGCTCCGTCGACCTGAAGGACGCGTCGGGCCACGCAAGCAACCGAATTACGGACCTTTGCAAGAGAACGTTAAAAACACATTGTCATCAAAGGCCGTTGTAATAAATACGCTAATCATTCTGAGCGAGCAACGGCAGCAAAAGTGCCCGAGGTTGAAGGATCGAAGCCATATAGCCTACATTTGATGCGTTGGGGGATTTCCGTTTTCATCTAAATAGCAAGTAAAAAGAAGCTCCTCGATTAGAATTCTGGTGGCCTACCGGCGAGGGCCGTAAAATTCGTTTCATGCAAGAGATAATTCAGTCGAGGCAATGTGTGGGAAATCCTTTTCTTTTTGTTTTTTTCTTGGCATTCCTCGCTGACTTTCGAATGGCGAGAATTCCACCACATATTGGACCTCTACCAGATTCCAATTGCTTGCGTGGATCACGGAGTAACGACGCGCGATCAGCGTGGGTAGGGACAAGCGTGACGGGACCCGAAATGAGGTCCGCCGCTCGAAGGAGCAGTTCATTCCCAATGGATAGTTTTGCGAAGTGCACGGAGGGTGGGCGGTCGTCGGTTCCGGGAAGAAGGAATCCTGTGAGGCGGCTCAAGAGAAGGGCCTTGGAAAGGGGGAGGAAGGAGGGACGAGGGGAAATGGCGGGGAGGAGATGCGGAGAGGAGAAAGAACGGGTCGGCATGGAGCAAATTCTTGGACCCCGCGCCGCACGGAACCGTTGATGCTGCCGCGCATCGCGAGAAGCAATTGCCCTCCTTACAATCTTCTGTCCGTCCCGCTCCCCGAGTCGTGGTTATGACGTACTCCGATCTCTAAGATATTTTCTACAATTTCATGACTGTTCAAGTGACGAGTCATAAATTTCAGTAGTTACACGTTTCTTCACTGCCAATTACATTGCATTATATTGGTGGAAAGTTAATGTATTGCTTCATTATAGGCAACTAATATGACCATTATGTAAATTAATTCAAATTATTCAAAGCATTAGTGCAATAGTCCCCCAACCGGAAATTGAACCCGGGTATCCTGGGTTTCCGCCATTTGCTGTAACATTGCGTTACCTAAGCGACCAATGTTTCGAGCAGGTTCTTAGGATTGATGTATAAACTCATATATGATAGTCGACGAGATAACCGTGGAGATAATCGATTATGTTTATTCCTCCAAGCGTATATGAAACTTCGAGCAAATGGCGTGTCCGCGCTGGGAGATTGTACTCATTAGGAGGGACTTGATGCTACGAAGCGTGCCCTGCTTCTAATTCCTGGTTCAGAGTAGCTTGCTGCCCGAGTATGGAGATAATTGAGTCGATAGAAGTTTGGAAACTCTGCGGGCGACTCTGTTATCTAGCCGGAATCCGCTTTATAAGGGGACGCAAGGCGGGATGCAGAATGCGGATAATCTGTCGCTCCTAGTTTGCCCTAAAGAGCGGTTTGCCCCTAAGCAAACGGGCTTGCAACATTGTCACAGACCACATCGGCTATAAGCCGTCGAGATGCTTTTCCATGTTACAGAATCTTACTTCGTGAAGAGTGAAGTTGAAGTCAGTAAAGGGTCTAATATGCAAGCGATTCACATGAACGCACGAAGAGCTAAGAAGCGCGATAAAAATTTAGAAAATCAAGAAATGTATTAAAATGCCTAACAAAATTAGGTTTTTGAGGTGATGAATCTCATCGAGAAAATAAATGAGGAATTTTCAAGAAAGATATTAAAAAGAGAACAGAATAATTTTGTAATTTTGTAATTTGGTTATCCATAAATATCAAGCATTTTTTCATACCACTTCATATTGTTCCCAGCCTAGAACAGAATGTACGCGTTTGGAGGTTCCCAGACTTGGTAGAGGGCGTAGGAGGCTAGTGATTAAGAAGCGGAACGTTCCCTGCGCTCTTGAGGAGCAGAAGTCTTGCAGGGAAACAAGCGGTTCCCGCGCACGTGAAATGGCTTGGCGAGGGTGGAACGGCGTCTGAAGGAGCTGGAATTGAATCGGGCGGAGACAAATTGGCTGGCGCGGCGGAGGCGGAGTGGCAGAGCGCGGGCGGTGGGAGTGGGGGGGGGTGAAGGGAGGAGGGCGCTGCGGGCTCCTGCGGAGAAAGCCCGTCCGCGCTATCTGCGTGTCAGTCGCTGTCGCCCGCCGGCCGCTCCGCCTGGCCACCGCCGCCCCGCGCCACCCGCGCACGCCGCCGCCTTCGGGGGCTCACGCGTCGCTCAGCGCATTCGTCATCGCCTCCTCTCTTCCTCTCCCTCTCCCTCTTCTCCTTTCATTTTCCTCGTTTCAATACCTTTTATTCGTTATTTATACCTCCACTTCCTCCCCCTCTTATTTCTTCTAGTTCTTTTCTCCCCCTCCTTTTTCTGATAGTCATATCCCTCCTCTTATTTCTGCACCTCTTT